CAAAACAAAAGCCTCTTTATCATGAGCATATTCGTCATGCGTGTTGAGTCCATTATTATATTTATTATTTATGTATTTATTTATTTATTTTGGGTTGTTTTTTTTTTTTTGGTTTTTCGAGACAGGGTTTCTCTGTAGCTTTGGAGCCTGTCCTGGAACTAGCTCTTGTAGACCAGGCTGGCCTCGAACTCACAGAGATCCGCCTGCCTCTGCCTCCCAAGTGCTGGGATTAAAGGCGTGTGCCACCACCGCCCGGCTTGAGTCCATTTTTAAAGATATTTGTAGTTACCATTCTTTAAAGAGCAAGAATCATACCTACATGGTTACATGGTTTCAGAGTTATTATTTTAGATCAACGTTTCCCTTTGATCACTATTCTTTCTTTTATTTTCTTGTTTGTTTGTTTGAGGCAAGATCTTCGTACATAACCCAGGCTTTCCTCATGCTTGTAATCCTCCTGCTTCAGCATCCCCAGTGCTTAGATTTCAGGCATGCCCCCACCACTCCTGGCTTTATAATTACTACTAAAAGCACTAACTCTTTTTAATTGGAGCGTATCTCCAAAATGGGTCCTTTGTGTAGGTCCCCTTTTAAGCAATGTATACTGCACACAATCTAGCTCACTCTAGCCGCCTCAGACACACCATAGGCAACGTAATCTCCTGTGACACAGTGATACCCCTGGCAGCTGCTGAGCCAAGGGAAGCTTTTGCTCCTATACCATATGTCCCCAGACTGTTTTTTTAAATAAGATACCCGATTCTTCTTCCTCTGTCACCATCAGGCCCCCATGCTGTTCCTGTTGGCTGCTCTAAGTGCCCTGCTTTGCCCTGCAACAGCCCATCTTTATCAGCCAATGGGCTTGATTTACAGCCAACGGTGCTTGTTAAGTTTGCCTGTAAACTAAAAGCAAGCAATGCTGAGCAGGCTCAGGCAGTCCCCTCAAACCATGCAGGAGCTTCTGCAGGCCACAGCTTTATTTACCGGAGTCTTGGTTTTTTATTGCGCATCTTTATTTATGTCGGAGTGCGTGTGCCGTGGCGTTCGTGGAGGTCAGAGGACAACTCTGAGACTCAGTTCTCTCCTCCCACCATGTCAGTCCCAGAAAATGAACTCAGGTCATCGGGGTTGAGAGAAAGTGACTTTAACTCCTGAACCATTTCCCTGGCCCTACGGTTTTTATTTTCTATAAGTAATATTGTTCAGTCAGTGACCTCTGGATGCATATTTAGAATAGGATCGGGAGATTTTGGAGGCAGAAGATAAATGAAAAGATTAGCAGCCACTAAAAGACAGGAGTGCTAAATGCAAAACTAATAATCCATTGGAACAGAGTCTGTGTGAGATCTCGGGACTCCTTTGGCGAAGGCTGGTGGTAAATGTAACACTTGGCTTCCAGGCCTGAGGGGGTAGAAAGCGGTATGTTACTTCTGAGCCTCTGTTGTTCAGTGGTCTCATCTGGGAGATGGAGCCAGGTCTGAGTACCCTCTCTGTTTCATAAAAGAGGGTCTCTCATGGCCTGATGTGGGGAGTCCCTGGCCTTCAGGACCATCGAGGAATCTGTCTAAAAGGCCCAACAACCATGAAAGATGATTATAATTGCTGCTGCTGCTCTCATCCGCAGGCCCATCCATCAGCGTCGCCGCCGCCTTACCCATCGCGCTTTTGGCACCAGGTTGCAGCCCCGCGTGTGTATCTTTAGCTTGTGTCCTCGCTGCCCTTCCAGAACCTAATTTCATCCTTGTAGGTTTTTCCAACGCAGGATTTGCACAAGTGGTGTGGCTTCTTAAATATTTATTTTGCAGGCCGTTTGCTCGGCACAGCTATTTTTACAGCGAGTAAGGAGCGAGGCTGAAAATAACAGCCCCGTAACCCGGTGGGTTCGGCGGCTGACATTTACGTGGAATGCATTTGCATCTCATTTGTCCTCCTTTCTGTTTAACAGGTAGAATGTAAGAAAGCTCAGCCGAAAGAAGTCATGTTCCCACCTGGGACAAGAGGCCGGGCCCGGGGGCTGCCCTACACCATGGATGCGTTCATGCTTGGCATGGGGATGCTGGGTGAGTCGGCACAGGTGTGGGGATGGGGGAGCCCAGTGGACTGGGGGTGAGGGCTGTGGCAGCCTGTACTGCCCACTGAGTCACTTAACAGTCATTTAACCCACCTGAGCGTCCATTTACCTGTGTATGCTGCTGTTAACTCAACTTCTAGTGAGGGCGATAGGTTCCTCTTTGAGACGGTCAGACATTCAGTTGAGATCATGGTGTGCTTGAGACCGTCTGTCCATCCCCTTCCTCAGACACAAAACAGGACCGCCATCCCCTCTCAGCCTCAGCCTTCTTGGCCCAGCGAGCATTCCTAAGACCTAAGAACTCCTTGCTGGCCTAGCTTGCGTGGACTCAGGCTATATTTTTCTAAAACTTAGGAGAGGCACTGGAGGGTGGCAAAGGGTAGGCACTAATCCTGTCTATTTAAATGATTAACATTTTTCTCTTGGGATATCAAAATTTGCATTTAAATGGATGTTTTAAATAGCCTGTTTTACTCTTTATTTGCAAAAAAAAAAAATGATGAAAGACAAAGTGTGTTTGTTCTGACTAAAAATGATCTCTCCTGGCTTTTAGAGAAATTGAGTTGCATATTATGCCCCTTTCCTTAGAGGTATCTCTGTCCGCCCTGCGTAGATAATTGAAAATCTCACCGCTTAAATGGCATGAAAGATGGAGAAAGCGGAGGAGATGCGTAATGGTGTGGGTCGCAACAATAATTAGAAATTTCAAGGCGAGAGAACGGTATTTTAGTGCAAGTTATTGTGTGTCGGGAAAATACTAATTAAATGGGATAAATGGTCGTTAATGGTGAAATTCCATTCAGGCACACGAGCTGTCTAGTTTTAATGGGTTTTCATTTGGCTTGGCGAAGAGTCCCCTCTTCTATATTGTGTGATAAGCTCTTTGTATATTTTCAGATGTGCTGCTGTTTAAATCATTCCTGGTTTAGTTTTAAAACTTTTCGTGCCCTTACAAAGAATGGTATCTCCTTGTCTGAGAAGATAACCTGGGCAGGTAAAGCTATATTGAAGAACTTTAAAGGCAGAGAATGGTGCCATTGAGAATATTTTTTTAAACGGCCAATCTATTAATTCTCCTCAGATTAATTTTCTTAGGCTTAACAGCGTTTATAAGAAAAAAATCCTATTCCAGTTCTTTAGAAACTGCCTGCATGATTCAAAAACTTACCTAGAAGTAGAAACATGAAAGAAAAGAAAAAAAATTTTTTTTTAAAAAAAAAAGCAAGAAATCAGAAAACACCAGTTTGACTATAGCCCAAAGCACTTTATAAAGCTACAGTAATTAAAACAATATGGTAGGGCTGGAGTGTGGCTCAGGTGGTAGAGCCCTTGCCTAGCATGCCTGAAGTCCTTGCATAAAACTGGGCATGGGGGTAGACACCTGTGAACTCAGCACCTAACACTCAGAAGTTGACTGTGTATCAAACTCAGGGACTATCTTATGGTAGAAAAGACTGTCCCCAGCTTCTGCCGGCTTGACCCCCCTAATTTTCTACTTAACAACAGCGCGACAGCTGTGTGTATTCAGTAGACACTGCTTTGACTGCTGAGTTTGGATCTTTTCCAGGCTGGCGGTTTACAGCGCCACACTCCCTGGGGTTGCTGGACAGGGGCAGCTGCTGTGTGGTAGCTTGTCAGAGAACAGCCATGTTCTCCGTTCTCTCTCAGGAGGGGAAACAGAGGCACGTCTGCAGCACGCTGCTGCTTAGCTGTGCAGGTTGGAAGACTGGGTATGGGAAATATATTTTTGGCGTCCCACACTTTGTTAGTCTGTGGTAAGTTTATCAAGTTATAACTCTGTCGTCAGCTATAAGGACACACGCTGGCTAGAGAGAATTAAAGAGTCTCCATAGATCTATATACATAGAAGAGGATATCTGTGTGTTGTATTTACAGCAGGCATGTGGAAGCCACAGGTTTCTCACTGAACTTGGAGCTCACCAATTCAGCTAAACGCTAGCCTGCAAGCCCCAGGAACCCTCCCGTTGGCCTCTGAGCACTGGATTTAAATCCGACACCTCCCAGTTTTATGTATTTGCAGGTCCTCACGCTTGTGCAGCAAGCACTTGACCACTGAGCCATCTCCCCAACCCCGTAGTTATTACTTCTAAATGATTGTTAAAACCATTGAGAATGAAATGATGCTGCTCTATGGCAGACTACTTAACTCTTAATATTTAGGCACCCTCGATTGCCTTCCTGTCCCTGATGGCGCAACGTGGTCCATGGGCCTCTGGCTCTTTAGGAGGAATCAGGAGGAAGGCTTCCTCCTCCCTAGCTGCTTCATTGGTTACTTGTCTGTCCTCTAACGTGGCAGCGTGGCCTGGGGTAGTCTCCTCTTTGGGTAGGGCCGCTACCTCCACAGTGCACTGTGTGCATATCAGTCCTGGAACCCATGCTATCACTGCCCTTAACAGTTTGGCTGATGAGCTTAGCTCCTAAAGGAAAATAAAATGAAAAAGAATTAATTCACTGAAGAGCTAGGCATGGGGATGCATACCTATTATAATCCTACACTTAGGAGGTAGAAGTGGGAAGATCAGCAGTTCAAGGTCATCCTTGGTTACAGGGAAGTCTGAGGCAGTGTGGACTATGTGAAAACCCTGTTTGATGAAGAACAAACAAACAAAAATCACTGTGAATAACCAGATACAGTGGTACACAGCTGTAGTCCTAGCCCTAAGAAGGCTGAGGCAAGATCCCAGGTCATGACCAGGCTGAGCTATATGGCGAGACCCTGCAAAATAAATACTCATTAATGAATATTTTAAAGCAAAACTATAAGGCACTGATGTCAAAATTCACTCATCCAGTGTTTGTTTAGCAAGTGCCAGCATGAGAACCTTGCCTCCAATCCCAGTCAGGAGCTGAGACAGACATGCTGGTCTCATGACTGGGGCATCATGGAACTAATTTTTAAAACATTTCAGGATCTTCTCCATCCCTTAGGAGGTCTCAGAAAAGGAAAGATGGCAAGCAAATGGGAGTGTGGCATTCTTTCTTGATTTCTCTTGATATGGCTGCCCACATCCTTGGGGCAAATGCAAGTTGTTTTGACTTTAGCTTTCACAACCCTTAATCTGATGGAATAAAAGATGGTGAGAATTCCTTAAAAGAGTGTAGGGGGCTGAAGAGGAAGGGACTTGCTCCAAGATCCCACCTCTTCTTCTGAGCCAGACAGAACCAGAAACAACTGTGCCGTCAGTGGAGATGCTTTTGCAACCCGCAGGTCCTGTCCCATTGTTCACGTTCTGTGGGAGCACCCACAGTCATCCAGCCTGATGCTGTAGAGTCCTCCTGGGTTTTCTTAATGAAAATGGACTTAGTAAAATCAAACACGTGACTCTTGATGTATTTGATTCTTCTTGGCCTTCTCTGCCTTTAGCCTCATAATCCCACTGCCTTTAATATTCTTGGCCTGGTTGGACACATGCTATTTATTAAACACGTGATAGAGAGAGAAAGCTCAGTGTTGAAGCCTTGTAAGAAAGCGTCCCTTGGCAGACGAGGGAGAAGAGAGACGCTACAGGCCAGATAGCAGCTAGCCAAAAGCGTGTTTATCTTCATTTATCCCAATAGATCCTTGCAAAACCCTGGGACAGTGCTCCCCAACATGAATGCCTTGTAAATTGAAGGCAATAAATAAATAATAAATAAAAATCAATCATTGAAAGGCCTGGGGAGCCATGATCTGCACACATTGACTCCAGATCAGGAGATCCGCTTACCTTCCTGGACTTGTCGGTAGACCCTTCTGGAGTTTATCTTTCTCCTAAAATGCTGGTTTGTCTGTCCTAATTTGTGCACCTGTTGGTAGACAGAAGTAGCTCCGAGTTCAGCTGTCCCTTATCCTTCTGGAGCAATGGGTCCATAGAGCCTTCTGAGTCTGTGAGACTGCCCGTTGTCTGCTCGCCAGTGTGGGGACCGCCCGTTTCATGTGCACTTCAGCCCTTGAATATCTGTGATATGGCGCGTGCCCCTAACGGACTGAAGCTTCCCTTTCAGATGGTTTTCATTAACGGTTAAATTAGCATGGGTGTGGAGGAGCCCCTACGCTGGGGAGAATTCTTGGACCGTGGGACTTTGTGGATTGGCTTCCGCATCCTTGCCTATGAGGGCTCTTGGTCCTCGCTTGACTTCATGGAACTATCATGGTAGCCCCAGGCAGTCCTGCACTTGTAGCAGACACTCACTGTGTTCTCTGGATATAAATGACCCCTCCCTCTTATCTCTTTGAAGTCAAGGGCCTGGGCAAAGCCTTATTTCAGGATACTAGGTGGTTGCCTAAGAGCCTGGATAAGCCATGGCCTATCTAAGATGCAGACACTTCTAAGTTAGGAGCAGAGATCTAAAGCCACAGTTTTGAGAACCCTGTGAGCATCCCGAGGAGGGGGCCACACAAAGAACTTTCGAGCACACCTGAGTTCTATTATCCCTCTCTTACTTGTGCAGCCACAGTGGAAAGCCTCGGTGTGAGGAAGGTGGGCATCCAGGCAGAAGGCCTGATATTTTTTTTTTCTTTAGTGACAAGAGATAATTACTGTGGGATTGATCAGGCATCCAGAGTACTGGAGCAAATAAATTGTGCAGTGGCCAGCGTGGGAGGGGCCCAGCTGCTAATGGAAGTGGTGGCGGGGTCATCCTGCTGTAATGTGGCTTGATGGAGCGTCCGCACGGGTCTACTGTAATGGGCTATTGATATGCAGCCAGCCGGTTTCCCCCGTGCGGCCTGGGCCCTGAGCCACTGGAGCAGAGCTGGGCTGCACAGCCGCAAATGAAGAGGAAAATTGAAGTAATGTTGTATTATAAATTTATAATTTCATCTGCCTGACAGAGAGGCTATTCAGTATTGGGGGTATGGAGATGAGATCCCCCAGCGTGGCAGGTGTGGAATTTTTCATCTCCACTCCTTGGGTGGTGAGGATATTGGCCTATCCGGAAGAACAGGGCGAGGCCCAAAGTCCGTGGGAACTTGACATTACGTTTCTTTTTCCGTGTTGAAGACCTAGGATCTGCGTGAGGGAGAATATTTGCAACGAAGTTGTACAGGTAGCCTGCGTACCAGGAGGGACTAGCCATTCCACTGTTCCTCACCTGCGTTCAGGGGAAAGGATGCATGGGCTTTTGCTCTTCCTGTCAAATTAACACTTCAAATTTAGGGCCCTGCTCTGAAGTTAGCAGCAAAGGAGCCATTTTTCTTCAGGAAAGCCCCTAGGCAGTAGTGATTTGACCATTTGCCTATAATCCATTTATCAATATTGTTGAAATAGTGCTATCAGAAATCTAGCCCTGAAAGATCTGATTTGATAGTAGATGATTAATTTAGAGAAAAATTGAGCTGCCCAGCCAGGATATAAATTCCAGAGAACAGCCCATTGCGCATGCGTTCAATCAAGGACTCTGGGGTCTGGCCACCACTCTACTCTCTCTTCCCCATCAGGTGCTCTGAGTCCTTCAAGGCTCCTGCCCCTCTGAGACCAGTAGGTACAGTGTTGCTGTGTCATTCTGCCTTGCCTTCTGCCAGTGAGGCATCATGAGCCTGAAGGATAATCTCACCAGGACAGAGCCAGTGACCGGGCCCAGATGAAGTAGAGCTAGCCCAATTGGCCAGTGTGTTAGTTCACATGTGGGAAGGCTCCAACTGTAGCGAGGACCACAGCTGGTCATTGCTGAGAATTTGAGCACCTCAGTGCCGCCAGAGACCTGCAAGGCTTTTTACGTGTGGCAAGATTCCACCTCTAAATGAAAGGGGAAATCCCCATTTTAGGTCAGAGTCATATGACAGAATCCCATAGGTCTTAATCAGCTTTTGAATTGACATCTATTTCTCAGTCCTGAATGCTAGGAAATCCAAATAGTGAGAGAGTCAGTGGTCTCTCTGGAACCTTCCTTGAAAGAGCATTCATCCCATTTATGAGGGCTGTGTTCTTGCGAGCCATTGGCCTCCCAAAGGCCCTAACTCCTAATATGGTATATCAGGTTTGATGGTTAGGATTCCTGTGTGAATTTAGGGAGACTCAAACAATAAGGCCATAGTCATCCCCAACGACATGGTCTTGAGTTAGACCTAGATACCAGGTCTCCTGACTTCTAGACCCATGAGTGACCTAAGTCTAGTGGTGAAGCCAGCCCCCAACATCTCCAGGGAAAAAGCCGTGCAAGGCTTAACCTTGGGCTTCTGAGGCATAAGCATTGACCGGCAGTGGGAAGAGTTCCCAAGCCTGACTCGTGATGGGGAGGAGAACATGGAATATAGGTGAGCAGGGTTGGAGTGTGCTTGGTATGAGACTCCATGGGGAGGTGGATAACGAATCCCCTGAGCTTGTGATTTGGGGGAGTATGCAAGCAGAGCAGAAACAGGTAGAGTGGCCACTGCTCCCCGTCTTCTGGAAAACTTGGGGCCTGCCCTAAACCCACCATAGAAGTGTCTTTCCACTCTCTTTTTGGTAGAAACAGAAGTGCCTCTGACCTCTGGGAGTGGCAAAGATTATTATAGAGCCTTGGTGCTGAGAATTAGCAGGAAGGCTGGGAAATGGAGCCTGGCAAGCAGACAGGAGCTTAGAGAGTTGAGCCATTAGAGCTCCAGCTGCCAGCCAAGGGGACAGCCCAGGAATGGCCTGGTCAGAGGGCCACTTGGCACCTCTGGATGCTGGATTGTCCTGCTGATGCCAGAGTAAACACTCAGAATCACCTGTCATCCTCTGTCCACTGGCTCTAGATGTGGGTCGCTGTGAAAGTTTGCCTTGGCCTGCCTCCCAGGCAGAAGCAGAGTTCGTTCGCGTACTGGCCAAACTGACACCCACCAGCCAGCCACCTCAGAAGCCAAAGCTGAGGGCTAGCCACTGTGCTTAGGGGACCAGGGTGACATTTTTGGAGTATGATTGTACTGAGTTAACCCACACAGGGTGGAAGGAGGCACAATAGGTCTCTGGGGACAAGGACAGGAGGTAGTTGTGGCGCTGCTGTGACCAAGGAAGCTACAGTACAGGAAGGCTCCATTCACCTCCACTGTTGTTAGAATCGGGACGGGGCGTGAAGAATGAGGTGAGCAGTACTGAAGTGACCTCTTAAATGGGAGATTGCTTCACAAAGTGGAGCAGGCCCACCCCCTCCAGGACTCACTAGAGGGGCGCTCAGCGCCCCTTAGTAAGTCACCTGCTGCAGAAGGGTCAGACAAACCATCTACCATGAATTGTCCATGAGAATTCTGTGCCTGGCCTTCAGAGCTCAGCCGGGGCTTCCTGGTACATGTTTTCACGCAGTCCCTCTAGCTCGCTTGAAGACACACTTCTTTGCAGTGGCCCCCGCCTCTCTCAGCCGTGGCTTGCTAAGCTGAGAGGCAGCCCTCTGTGTAGCTTCTAAACTGCCAATCCCAGAGTACCCCTGCCCCGTGTGATGCTCTGGCTCCTGTCCACTGCCTCGAAAGAAGGCAGTACAAGGACTTTAATCTCCTACTGTCAACATCTTTAAGGTAAAGTACATTCAGGGTAAGCGCTCCAAATGTCAGAGCTGGAGGCAGGCACTGTGCTTCTCCTTCCGTGTGGGATTTACTCTTCAGGTTCATGAACGTAGTCTGGCTGCCTACATATGGGTTAATTATAAACATCCTCACGGTCACACCTCCAGCCGTGGGAGAGGGGGGGATCCAGGGCCTGGATAGAGACCCTCCCCAGAGATACATCATTCTGTGAGCATAGCCACAGCTGGTTTTGCTGTCACCTTCCATGAAATAGCACTCCAGGTCCAAGGCCACTGTCTGACACCTCATTCTTTCTCTCTTTGTTTAAGGCTACCCCAACTTTGTGGCAACCTATGGCCGAGGCTACCCCGGATTCGCTCCTAGCTATGGCTACCAGTTCCCAGGTAAGTGGCTTAGATGCTGGGGTTTTGGTAATTTGGGAGGCAGACATCTGGAGGGGAGCGGAGAGATGCTCCGAGAGAGAACACAGTTTGCTTACCTGTCAACCTTCCGAGTCCTCTCTGGTTCATGGTCAGGGAATAATTGGAACTTTCCAATGGACTAGAGTGTTTCCTTGAGGCTGGTGGAAAACGGGAGGAGAGAAGAGGTGGGGATCCCCTTCTGCTCACCTCCTTTGCCCCCAAGTCTGTTCTCGGGCTTTTCTGAGGGATTAACGAGGCCCAGGGCTCGTTGCTGCATCCACCATCCCTGCTGCCTGCTGCTCTTCACATCTGCCTGTCTAATGCTTCCCAGCCTGCCTTCCCTTCCTCCTCCCCTCTAATCCTCCCCACTGCCCTGACATCGGGCTTTTCTGATGTACGCTGGTGAGGTTGCAGGAGTCAGACTTGTGCTTTGTACCCTGAAGAGCCTCTGCAAATTATCGTTCTACTCTGCATAGACAGCTGGGCATGACACTGCCTCCCCCCTCCCCCATGCCCAGGTGCTTTAGCGCTGAGGAGCCAGTGGGTGTGGTCTGGGGAAAATGGAGAGGATGCTGCAGGAAATGATGCTTTAGGAGGAGTGTTGATGTTCTTTGTGAGGTAAACTTCCTCACAGATGAGGATATATTAGGGTGCCTAGTGTGTCAGAGTCAAAGGCCAGATAATATAGCCAGCGCTGATGTAAGAGAAGTCTGTGCTCTGTGGTTCTCACTGTGCATGGGCCGGTGGGGGTTATCACATCTCTACTTGGAGACCTAGGAGAAGTGCTGAGCAGAAGGCACAGAAAGCCGACCTGAGGGAAGGCTGTCTGAGCCTGTGGAGGAAAGGTCTAAGGCTAGCACTGGCCTCAGTTCAGGCTTTGAAATGGTGACAGAGATGTGCATGGCTATGTCCCCATGATTCTGGCCGGTACTGGAAACCTAGACATTTATCCTGGCTCTGGTTCCAGTTGGACAAGTGGCTGTATGGCAAGTCACGCGCTCTGGTCCTCACTTCTTTTATTTGTGAATGGTTGGTGAGTGGGGCCTTTGAAAGACAGACAGTGCAGCTCTCCGACTGCGGGGTCAGAGGCAGAGGGAGAGAGATGGAGCCTCAGAAATCCAAGTAGAAGGATGAGTGACCTTGGCAGCTTCCCCCTCTGGGAGATGCTGTCCGCAAGGACCCTTGGCGGACTCTCTCCGCAGCCTCTCTTCAGCTTTGACTCCCGAGACAGAAATCTGTATTCAGGCTAGAACTGTGCCTAGTTTACCCCCACTACAGGTAGAGATCCCAAGGCACAGAGACAGAGTCACAGTGAGCAAGGGGCAGCAATTAGCCCAGGCAGCCTGGATCCTAACATCTAATACTTGACCGTTAGCCAGTATCCACTGGTCAACTAGGTACCATAGGCCACTAAAAATTAGATCTGTAGTAATTAAAATTCCGGAGAAAGGAAAACCTGAGGTCTTCATTCACACTGGCCGCATTCCAGTGGCTGGGCAGTCACATGAGGCTGGTGGCTTGTCTCGGAGTGGAAAATAGTGTATTTCCATCCCACTGAGGGTTCTGTTGCCCAGTGTTGTTCCATAAAAAGATATGATATGGTACTCTAGAGGTGTGTACCTGTTGGAGGGACACAATGTGAGATACTTTGGGGACAGTGACGTGGACCCCATGCTAAGACCCCTGTCTTGTCTCAACCAGCCCAGGAAGTATCTGGTAGTGTTCTAACTCTGTGGCCCACATACGTGGGTCTGCCCCAGACAGACAGAGAGACAGACATGCTAGCTTGACCTAGCTGAGGCTGGATAACTGAGGTGGTGTTTCCCGGGTGCCTGGTTCCTTCTGGGAAGTCAAGGCTTTGATAAGAAGTAAGTACAGTGTCTATGTCTGAAGACGCTGTTCATCTTTCTCATGTTGCCAACTCTTCAACTGTGGCCAGTCACTAGGGTTAAATATGGGGGGGGGATCATCCCTGAAGGCAGGCAGGCAGTATTCCCTGACCCCATAGGCTGGGCAGTCCACTCTCAGCCACCAAACTTTCTGTGTCCTATCCATTTGTAATCAAAAGATTCTGTTATCCCATGACCCGAGAGAGACAACTATCTTTCTGCAGCTGAGGAGGTGTGAACCACACAGCCTTTATCTTAGTAGGTCAGGAGTCAGGTTGAGGTCAGAGCTCTCCCCACTCCATGACCCTAGCCCCTGGGAGTTGCCCTTCATGGAGCATCAGCCCCCATCTGTTTGTTCTGACACCCTGCCAGGCCCCAGACACAAAGCCGAGACTGCCTCCTGTGTCCTTCCCGTCATGAGCTCAGGATGTGGTCAGTCCCTCTAGAATCAAATTTGACATCGTCACAGAGCTTAAGGCTTGGTGGACTTCGGCATGGGATCTTGAGGGTGTCCTGACTTTAGTCTCCTGTGTCACTCCGTAAGGACTGTTTGAGGTGGGTGTGGCTAAGGAGGTGGTGGGACTGCAGAGTGAACTCCAAAAGTAGGGCCGCCTTGGGCTCTGCCTTCTCCTGCCTCCTCTGGGTGGTTCTGTAAAGCAGTTCTCATGCCCTGGGGCTCGATCCTGGCCCTGTCTGACTCTGGCACAGCTCTTGTCTCCACCAAGTTGTCCTGATGCTTTTTCTTCATGGTCTCAATCCTTATCCTGTGCCCACTTCCCATTTCTAGCCCCTCTGAGGTCCTGCGTGAGTCCCGCGCCCCTCCTAAGTCTTCTGAGTCCATCCTAGAGGGATGCTGGGAGAGAGATGACAGCCCTCCGGGTTCTCGAACCACAGCCTTCATGCATTAGCCGGAGTCTGGGGTCTTCTCAGCAGACAGGAACCTCATCCCTTCCAAAGTTCTTTGCACATGTCTTTACCTGTACATCCATCTCAACTGATTGGGGTCCAGGTCTCACCCCATCTGTGTGACATGTAGTCCTAGTAGACCTCCGTGGGCCACACAACTATGTTAAACATGTTAGCCCATGTAGCCACCTGCAGGGTTGTTTGAGAGCAAGCACGATGTGCTGAGAAACAGGCTCTGTGGCCTTGGGTCAGAATTGGGGCTGGGGCTCTTTTTTTTTTTCCCGAGACAGGGTTTCTCTGTGGTTTTGGAGCCTGTCCTGGAACTAGCTCTTGTAGACCAGGCTGGCCTCGAACTCACAGAGATCCGCCTGCCTCTGCCTCCCAAGTGCTGGTATTAAAGGCGTGCGCCACCACTGCCCGGCCTGGGGCTCTGGGCTCTTTTCTAGGAAGGCTGGGGAGCCCTTAGCCAATGGCTCCTGCCTCTCGTGCTCCTGGGTCTTCCCTAGCCCTGCGTTCGCGTCAGTGTTGAGTCTGGAACAGTGGTCCTGTCGCCAGTGATCTGCCCGCGTCCTCACACCCTCCCCTTCTGTTTACTCTGTTAACTAGCAACTCTGTGTGCTCTGTGTCTGGTCCCATTTCACTTCTCAAACTATTTGCCGATTTTGATTCATGAGATGTAATGTTATCAACAAGCTCTTAAAAGAAGCATCACAAGGGGGGGGGGGCTTGCCATCATTTCTAGAGAGTACACACTCGTGCCAGAGCCGCCCGACTGCTGGCAGGGCCCACTGAAATCTGTCCTGTCTGGCTGATGGAGTGAACGAACATGATTTCTCCTGTTTTAAATTCTGGGAAAGAGCTCGCTGTTTTGCTTTGTTTTGTTTCAGAAAACTTGGTGTTTGTGCCTTCCCACTTTGCTTCCTGAATGCATTGTGGCCAGTCCCACTTCTGCCCGCACCCAGCCCCAACTCCCCAGAAGGTAGGGATTCCTTGGAGGAATCCTGCAGATGCTGCCTCTTTAGAATAATGATCAAGCGGCCTTGCTGGGCATCTCACGGGGCAAGACGTAAGCTTTTAAGTGCTGGTGACCCAGAGGGGTTGCAGCTGTGTGATCTGGAAAGCGCACCTGTGTCCGGTGGCGACGTGCACTCCCCCCCCCTCTCTCTCTCTCTCTCTCTCTCTCTCTCACACACACACACACACACACACACACACACACCCTTTATAAAACCATGTGGAAAATGTGATTTGAATGAGCAGCTGTGTAAACACTGTCCGGTTGCCATTGTCCTTTGGGGCCAGTCTCTTGGTGGCTGTTGCCACAATGTCTGTCTGTCTGAGAAGGGACAGTAGAGTCGCCCTGACCCTGCTAGTTGTTGGCACAGACACTCCCCCCACTGGGCTCCCCCTTCCCCAACCTCACTGCTCCACCCCTGTGTCTTACCCCTACCCCATGGCACCACCAGGGTGGGAAGGAACAGGACATCTGGGACCACCCAAATCGGGCTACACCTCAGTGCTAGCACCCTGACAGTCACCCCTATCCAGAAGGATTGTGTTATGCCGACCCCGTCCACATCTCTCTTTGAAATGTAGGGTTCTCTTGAGTTAGTAGCGACAGTTCAGTCGCACCCGCAAAAGCCAGAGTTTGTGGGCAGTGACCCGTGGCTCTGTTTGCCCGACCGGGTATGAACAGATATGTACATTTGAATATCAGCGTCCTTGATATCCATAGAGCAGGTCAGCATGGCAGGAGGTCCGTGCAGTTTGGCTCCTCTGTTAGAGATAACTGATGTAGCAATTGTCTGGTTCCCTTTCATCTTTCTACGAGCTTTTTTTCATGAGTGGTGGGTAGTTGCTGCTCTTCAGAAACAAAGCTTGTAGGCTTCCCTCTTCTTCATTTGACCTTGGCTTCTGTGAACTGCTCTGCTCTGGTGAGCGTGTCCTGAAGTGCTTGCCTCTCGGGCAGTTCAGTTCAGCCATTGTGAGTTTCCCCATTGCTGTAAATAGTTCATCTAGGCTGCTCCCTAATGACGTTTTATGTTTCCCCCTGTAAGCAACTGAGGTAGAAAAATAAATTGTTTACTACGGACATGCTGTGTGCTGCCGTCTCTTAGCCTGAGAGTGTCCTGTTCTCGCTCCAGGGGAGGTGAATGTACTAAATAACGAGAGCTAGTGACAGCCAAG